ATGTGTTCTTGCAGTGACGTTGATACAATTATAATATCATCTAAATATGTGTATACATTATCTATGCCTCTGAGAATATGATCCATTAATCGCTGAAAGGTACTTGGGGCGTTCTTTAATCCGAAAGGCATTCGTAAGAACTCATAGTGCCCTCTTTCAGTGGTAAATGCTATCTTTTCGACGTCCTCTGGGTGCATTTCCACTTGATGGTAGCCACTAGCCAAATCTAGGGTGGTGAAATATTGGGCACGACCTATTCTATCGAGTATGTCATTGATGTTGGGGAGTGGGTACTTATCTTCGACTATGCGGTCATTCAAACGCCTATAATCGATAACGAGTCTCCATTTGATTTTTCCAGACGCGCCTGGCTTTTTTGGTACAATGTGGACTGGACACGACCACGGAGAGATACTTTCCCTAATTATTCCCTGTTTTAGTAAGTTATCGACCTGACTTTGGCTCTCTTTGCGCTGTTGCGGGGCCTGTCTATAACTTCGGATGAAAATAGGTTTGTCATCTGTCAGTTTGAGTTCGTGTTTAACTGCGTGTGTGAACGTTAACGGTATATTTTCCGAGAAAAATATATTCCTATACCTGTAGCATAATCTGTTTATTTCACGTTTTTCCTCTTCATTCATATGTTCGGTACGAATTTTTTTTTAATTTTCACATAATTCATGGTCATCGTCAGTCTGTCCTTGTATATAATTTAGTTCACAACTACTGTTTTTATTTAAATTTTCTAAATAAATTTCTAATCTGATAGGGGCTTTGTTTGGGATATATTTTTTTTTCGGTGTTTAAATTAATAACTGATGTTCTAAACGTCCCGTTCTTAACGTTAACTATCGCCGCGGGTGATTTTAAACCGTCAGACCAATAGAAATCGTCATGTAAGTACTGTCCGTCAATGTAGTGCGTCTTGAATGTCATTAGCTTTTCGCATCTAGGTTCTACTTTAAGCTTTTGGGATGGGTAGTTAAAATATATCGGTATGTCCGCTGTAGAGGTGTGTAACGAATTATTATTTAAATCAATGTTACTTTTTAATTTACGCAACAAGTCAAATCCGATTAGACCTTTGTATTTTGGATCGAAATCAAAAATTAAAAATTTATGCGTAATATTACTATTAAACGCGGGTGGTAATTGCAAATAGACCACATGATTATGACGCGAAACGCCATGAGCCGTAGATATTTCAAAGGGTTCGTAATCGACATACTGTTCAAACATAGTACCGCGAATAACATCGGGTGAAATAGTAGAGCGACTTGCTCCTGTATCGATTAAAAATTTACCTTGAAATTCGGGTAGCTCGATGTAGGGGAGGTGGTCTTTGTCTTGGAAGTTGATCTGTACTAACTCTGGTTGTCCTGAATCTCCTCCAAACGAAAATCCTGGTTGGGGCCTAACTCGTTACAGTCTACGTCAGTATCAAAGCCATCGCTGTCGACCGGTTGAATACCGTTGTAGTACTCACCTTCGTTGAAGTATGGTTGCATATGGTTATTCATGTGACTGGGAGTGTAAAAGAGCTCCTCAGCGGTGAACTGCGGTCTCGGAGGCTTGTCTACAGACCTCATTGTGACGTCCGAAGATTTTTGGGGGTTAACCTGTTGTCTAGGGATGTTTCGCTGGTTCCTAAAATTACTGCTTCTAATGTTGCCTGAGCCACCTGTTTGAAAGTTACCTGGAGTCGGTCGTGTTTGCATTGGCTGCAACCACTGTTGTCGTTGTTCGGGGGCTGCACTACTATAGAGGATAAAAGGGGGTTGTGGCATATGCATCCCTAAATAGGTTGGTGACATGTACGGGTTACTAAAATTGCGAACCGGGTAAATAAATTTCGAATTCGTTAACTCCTTCGGCTTAGCTCGAGATGTTGAAGGTGTGTTAAAATTAGTGGCTCTATTATATGCAAGCCTAGCCTCTTCCTGCCTAGCCGCTATTATAGCTAGTTCTAAAGTATCAGGTTTAGCAATTCTTACTCCTAGTGAGACATGGAAGTCTAATTGATTACTAAATTGTTCTATGACCATGTTCTCATAGAAGTTTTTGTCGTTATGACTGCCTATCGAGAGTAAGGTGTCTAGAATTTCTCTAAGCCGTTTTCCAAAGATCTCGGCGTCCTCCTGTCTAGAACGGCGAATACGCGTGACTTCTTGTATCACTTGAATCTCGTTTCGCGGTTCACGGAGTCGTCTTATAAAAGCGTCTTTAATGGTTTCCCACGTGTCTATATTTTCTTCATAAGCTAACGCATCTATAGCGGCGCCGCTTAGCCTACTCTTAATGAGGCAAATTAAAACCGGATGTGCGCGAGCATGTTCATCTGGCAATAATTTTAATAATTTTTCAATTTCACGAATATAATAACTTAATAATTTAGGATTCCCGTCATATCGGGGTATTAAATCCATCATCAACTTAAAATGCGAATCGCAATCTTTCAAAGACATTGTTTCTAATTTACGATTCCCGTTAAAATAAGACAATCGCGATACGTATTACACAGTAAATTCCTGATTCTAAGGAGTTTAATGAACAATGGAATGACGCTCGCGTTCGTTCACAGTATCGAATGTCTCGTGCGATTGTAGCTAACCGACAGACGAACTGATGATAATTTTAAACAAAGTTATTGATTTTATTATGTATTTTAATTGGTTGTATTTATTTTAACTTCTTATTTAAATAATTTATTGTTGATCTTATTATTATAAATATACTAATAGAATGGGAAATGTCTGTTGCGATTAAAGCTTATAGACATACACACTCAATAAAAAAAATACCTAAATTAAGACAGGAAATAGAGCAGGAACACTTGGATAACTAGAGTACTTACACCAGGATGTTCTGCATCTCCTGACGAATCCTTGCCCGATCGCGCGATTGAGGTTCTTTAGGATCGCTCAAGGTACGATTTGAGAACCGTGACACAATCGTAATAGAACATTTGATTCAATACGAAAGTGCTGCGATCCTACCGACTGCGCCAGTTAAGTAATCGGCGATCGGTATTCCAATAAAAAAAGATTTATTTAATTAATTACAAGGTGTTAACTGTATGACAATTTGGAATGGACTGATTTATAATTACAAAAACTTATGAACTAAAACTAATGGTGTCAGCGTTCCTTCGATGCGCCTTCGCCGTGCTGAGTCTGCAGTAATCGCGGTTATGACGTGCTAACTCATGTCGTGAGGAAAAATTAAAATTTAAATGAACATACTTAACCGTAAAATTAACGTAAAAGGTAAAGTAAATATTAATTCTTACGAGGTGATTTACCTTAATAACTGTTTATAAAGATTTTTTCCTTAAAATATTATAAAAATAATAAAAGAACAGATAAAGTGATAATTTATTCAGATCCTGTTTTTTCTAGCGTTGCATTTTAAAAATCGCTCAGTATTACGAAAGATCAATTTGCGCGAACAACATGAAATAAGTCTATATAAATTTTTATTATAAGAGTGGTACAGTGATAACCATATTTGGTTGTTTATATGAGTCATAGGAACAAATTTTTAATGTGAATATTTTCAACTCGAAAGCCAAATTTCTCAACAGTAACCGATTTACCATGCTACAAATATATTCTATTGTGAAGAAAAGAGATAATTTAAAGCTTAAGATACTTATGTAATATATAAACAGTACATGTTTCATCGTAAGAGTCGCGGGCAACCGGCGGATGCAAATGACAAAGTGTCGTTCGTGCGGCTGTTGATGGTGATGATGACATATTTCATATTTTATCTATAGAGGTTATGTGTATAAACATATATTATTCGTTCAATTGTGTAACAATTGTACTATCTGACTATACAGAACTGAAGAAGTAAATAATACACAGAATGATGTCAACAAAACAAATCAAATACACCACGGACTCAAGTCGAAGTTTCAACTTTCTTATTTCCGACAGTTGCATTGTTCGCAACGAAAATATTGGAAACTTAACTGGGAACTGAAAGTGCGTAGTTGGACGGGATCCAAGTTGAACTGGAGTTTGGTTTGTTTTCGGTACTGAGGAACTGTCGTACTGTTATCCTTCCCAAAGAAGGTAGTTATCACTAAACATTTTTACACATAACAAAAGTAACTGTAACTGATGACTGTGGTAGGACCACGCAACAGTCTATAGTGTTGCACGAATGGGCAGGTCCGTCCGGTGAGGTCCCACGACCTCACAGAAGACCGACGTGAAGTAGAAGTGTTACACTTCTGCGATTCGTTTGGCGAGTGAGGTAACCGAAGCCCACTTTATTAAAAACAAAAAAATGAAACTGAGCGCTAATTGCATAAAATAAAATAAATTTCTTTCAGTCAAAACAGATCCTCCGAAATAAATATTGCGCAAATCATCTGTATGGAAGAACAATTGGACTGTGCAAAACAACCATGGTCAAATCAAAACTGCCAGATGTTGTTCCAAAACCTGTTTTGAGCGTATTGTGGAACAAACCTTGAAATATGAAAGATAATATGAATTTTAAGCTATCATAACTTCCTGTTACTGTTATTATGTTGTACAATAAGTTTGCAACTCACTACAACAATCTTTTCGTTAGGAAAACAAGGGATACGCTATTTTTAGAAAAAAAAACATCCATAAAAATGATCCACGACATCGAGATTCAGCTGAGCAAGGTTACGGGCAACATAACATTTTATGGGTGTCATAAGTCAAATGTCCAGTTTTAAAACATCTCGAACCAAAAAATCAACTACACACACAACCACTCTGTTGAACCAGCTGCCGCCGGCGGTCTTTCCGAACCGTTATGACCTGAGAACCTTCAAGAAGGAGAGCATAATATTTCCTTAAAGGCCAGCAACGCATTTGTAAGCCCTCTGGTGTTGCAGGTGTTCATGGGCGCCGGTAATCACTTACTATCAGGTGAGCCCCCTGCTCGTTTACGTCTTTTCCCCATAAAAAAAACACTGCACCAACTCAAGCAAATAAATCATATTCTTTAGCTCATCCGACGTGAATATCGACATGAAGCGGTTCCTCAACACGGCCGGAGGCGGTATGGAACAGATTGTTGCCCAGACCTTTTACGCTGAAGGACACACCTCGGTCGGAGAAGCAATCAAAATCTTTATTGAGGACGTGTTTGATCAATTCCCAGTCGCAAAGCAGAAGACTTGGTGTCGCCATTCTATAAATACTAACCACTTTCTCGTAGGGGAACTTGTCGTAGATCTCCTCAAAAACAACCCCGATATTCATCTTTCTGAGGACTTGTATCTGGTCTCCAAACAGCAGGAGTGGTCTCGGCCCGGGAAAATTTCTTGTTTTCCAGTAGCTAAATGCCCTGGTCAGGTAGCAGTACACCATCTAACATTCTGTTAATATAGCGATCAATATATCCTGTGAGAACATTTATAAAATGAGCGTTGTTGGAGCTTATAAAATGTGTGTATCTCGAGATTTAAGCTGCTTATCTATCGCAGCTTCATTTTTAAAGTGGAGCACACTTATATACATACTTATTACAAGCGTTAATTAAACGATGGTTCATTAAATTCGTTATACCTATTCATCATTAAAAAGAAATGTACCAACCATCTAACGAAAACTGACAGAACTTAGACGCAGGAAGTGACCTCATTATAGTATATCTGTGTTCGTAGGTTCACATTACTTGTTCTTCCAATTCTGTTCCATACTATTGCCATGATAATACTAAGCCGATTTCTACTCCTATCAATAGTTTCAATGGATTTACGCAATGAGAGCCACTTATAAGCTTTAAAGTAATTAACGAAAGAAAATATTTAAGAATAAATTTTATTTTATCATCGACGTCATATCAGCCTGTGGAATCGACAGCTGAACATAGCTTCCCCGCAGGCTGCCACCAATCGCAATACCTGCTCCCATCGACTTCCTACACAGGTGCATTGATCGCCACTTTATCTAATCTGTGGGTCGTCCTACACTACGATAGCCGATATGACGCTGCCACTCGAGAACCTTTCTTTCCCATCGGTTCTTCTAGCTATATGGCCGACCCATTGCCATTTGAACTTACTAATCTTCTGAGCCAAGTCCATTAATTTTTTTTACTGCGGGTGCCTTACAAACTCTATCAAAAAGAGAATTAACGAGCATAGCCTGGTAGATGAATCAATTTCGTTTAACGGTTTCCTTATTCGTGCCAGAGATAGACAGCCCGAGGTTGGCTGTAACGTTGAGACTCAGTTCGTATAAATAGTTCTTAACATCTGAGTAGAGGAGAGACCATTCATAAAGATAAAATTTTAACTTTCAGGTATAGCGACAGTATTCACTTCAGGTGAAACGCCAGGTCGCTTGGCAACTTTTCACATTCAAAAAATACAAAATAAAATAGTAATTTTCATGGATGGCAATTTTTTCTACTAAGTTTTTTTTTTTTAATTTTGTCTATTGCTGAAAAACTAAACACGAATAAGTACAATTTAGTAGTATTAAAAAGCTTCAAAAACTTAAATCTAACACATTGGGTTTTCTGTTGTAGTGATCAGCGTCTCCTGTTACAGTCATAGGCCTCTTCCAGCGAGTATAGCCTCCATTTTTTCTTATGTCGTCTATCCGTATGCATCATGAGCATGTCCTCCTCTTTTCCTTCGGCCATCGCGTGGTTGCCACTCTGTTATAATTATTATCCTATTTTAACTTACTATATCTCTTACTTTCTTTTTTATATCTTATACTTTGGTACTGGACCGTATTTTAACTGCTCTTAACCGGTCTGTTTTAGTGACACCGTCATGCGTCTCTCCATTCCCCGCTGAAATGATTTCAATTCTCCGACTATTAAGCATATACACAGATCCCACCAAGTCTTTTTTGCGTAGCGATAACCGAAGTAATTTAAATTAGCTATTGCAAAAACGTACGGAGTCATCAAAAGTTTGTACTTTTTTTATTTAAAGTTTATAATTAAAATAGATCTATGCTACCATTTTGTGATCTTTTTCTCCAAACAAGAGATACAAAGTGGTTATAAACAAAATTTAGTTTCGCATAAAATGTTTGTTGTTTTCATAAAATGTTTTCGTTCGCACAGTGTCGACGTGTGATAAACTTTTGAATATTTCGGAAATCATGGAAATAACGTACACAATTCGGCCAGAGTTCGAACCCGAGCCTTCCTAGTAACTAACAAAAATGACATTGAAACCGCGTATGAGAACAGTTCAAATGTTAGTTAAATGGTGCCTATTTTAAGAAAAGACACCAATGACAAATGTAAGGTAGCTTTTGCCAGGTTCCAGTTGTGTTCATATACAGGAAAACAATTCTTTGAAAATTAATAGAGTGCAAGTTTTTTTATCTTTAATTTAATAGTTCCTTTTTGCTGCTAACTTTTGGTAGGCGCTTTTTATGTTTTTCGAATACCATCATGTCTTGCACTAGGGAGTCCAACATAAGGGAGAGACCTAGGGAAGTCTTTTGATTTCATTTTTATTTTGACGAATATTTAGTGATATTATGGACTTGGGCACTGTACTTTCAGATGCCAAAGCGACACATTTCTAATTTACATGTAGAAGAATTTCAATTGTATTGTAATGTTCATTGTAGAATGTCATTTTAAGACACATCCTTTATGGTCCACAAAATGATGTTTTATAATGACACAAGTTAGCTGTAAAGGGAGAATACTAGATGATCGTCCAACATTTTTAAAAATGCAACGAAACAAAACAGATACGACGTCGAAACCTATCCTAGATCCTACCTGTGAAACAAAAAGGTCTTATTTATTAATATTACTGTTTATTACTTACTTGCAGGAATAAAATAAAAAGTTTATAATAATACTAAATGTAATATAATCAAATCTCGAAAATCTAACCTATATAACCTCCAACAGAATTTAACAATTTCTGGAGTCGATGCCATTGTTCACCGTGGGTAATGAATGGTTCATGTTTGTTCAACTTGTTAAAAAATAGAAAAAAGCTAAGAAACAACGAATACTGCAATTATCTAATAAATAGGTTAAATTCGGAATTATTAATTATTCGTGTCCGATGTCAATTGACTTCCACAACTCATAGCCGTCAAGTCCGCTCCCTCACTTCCTGTATCGACCTTACTCAAGCGCCATACTTGACGTTTCCGAGAGCTTCCAATAGATGGCGTTGTAATCAAATTATGGCGCCATATCTTGATTCTGCGACATATAGATTTCTTAGTATAGTTATAGTTTATTTAATCAAACCTTGATGAATTCCGTTAATAATTTATAGTTTGTCTGTCTGTCCGTCTATCCCCAGGCAGTATCTCATAAGCCGTGATAGTAAGACAGTTGAAATTTTGACAGATATATCTCTTCATTGCCGTTATAACAAAAAATACTAAAAAACGGAATTAAAAATATTGAATTGGGGCTCCCGTAGAAAAGACATGATATTTTGCCATTTTTATAGATAATAAATATAATACGTAAGTAACCCTTCGTGCGCGAGTCCGACTCGCACTTGGCCGGTTTTTCAGCACAAAACCCGTGGACAAAACAAATCTCGATGACAAACTGTTGGTAATGCCTTTTACACCAGAATAGGGACGCCTATGTCCAGTATTGGGACATTTTACATATAGGCTGTTGTATTACTTTACTTATAATTACCTCATTTCAGTTATTTCCGAAATACATTTTATAAATTTATTAACATAATTTATATTCTAAAATTATAATTTTATCACAAGTCGTTACTGCGCAAATCACAAAAAACATTTCGTTCGAAAGAATCAACCAATGTTTTCTTCAGTTTGAAACTAGTGTTTTGATAAAAAAGATTTTTAAGATCAACAGATGGACGCAAAGTCTTCACTTTAACATAAATTTACCACCCAATCCTCGGCACTAAAGGATTAGCGTCTGGAGCTCTTGGCAAAGTAGAATAACTAAGAATAACTAACTAAGAGGAATGGAGGAATGTTATTTTTTGTTAAGGATTTTTTTGTTACATGTTTGGGGCATACCCAAACTGACAATTGCATATCACTAAATAGTATAAACAAAGGCGTCTCGTTGTCTGTCTGTCCCTTTGTATGCTTAGATCTTTAAACTACGCAACGGATCTTGATGCGGTTTCTTTTACTAGATAGAGTGAATCACGAGGAAGGTTATAAGTAAATAGTAGTATAAGTTATAAAACATTGCACCCGCGCGAAGCCGAGGCGGGTGGCTACTACCTAAATATATAAGTCGTTTGTGATACTACTATCAATTGATGTTTAATTATTTCGCGGGATAATATTAAGATAAATTCCTTCGGCCCCAAGGATTGCTCGTTTGGCAACGAACTGGATGGTCGGTGGTGTCTTATTGCACGGCTCAACCCGGAACTTGGACAGGAGCCTCGCTAAACATATAAACGACTGCACCTGGCCGAATCGCATACCTGAAAACAAAGTGGCTAGTTACTAAATGAAACTATGTTTACGGTGTATCGCGTGGTTTCGAACCCTTTACACCGTTCATGGTCACGGGACAGACTTAAACGACGAAACCAAAAATAAACACGATAAATCCATAAAAAGAGTTTCATTTAGTAATGTGTAATCACTTAATAAAAGAAATTATCAAAGTGACTAGTGTTAATAAATGGTATATTCTAGAAGATTTATTTTTTTCTGATGCCTCATTTAGCGGCTCGTTTTTATCTGAATTAGGATCAGTGACCACAGTATTTATAAAAGTTTGTTCTTAGTACAAGAGAAAAAAAAGGCGTTGGACGGTGTTATAAATACTAGAATGATTAAATTAAAGTAGCGTTCAACCTATTAAACATAAAACAATACGATGTCATATCGCAATATCCCAAGAAAAGTGAACGGCACGTCATAATAAATAGTGTTTTTATCAACTTTACTGTTTTTATTCAGCTTCAACAATCTGTTCACGGAATATTTCTGATCTGTGTATATTTAAATGATGAAATTCATGAAAATTTTTTATTTTCAAACAAAGCTTCGGATTATAAATGAAACTAATTTTACGGATTTATCGCGTTTATTTTTAATTTTAATTCCCGACGTTTCGAACCCTTTACAGCGTTCATGGTCACGGGACAGACTGAGGTGTTAGACGTCTGATTGTCATAGTTAACCCGGGCTACCGTCAGTTTTTTTTTTTTTTTTTTTTGAATTATTAATTTTGTGTCCGATCTATGCAGAGGGAGCTAATTGTATCTTGTCTTGCAGTAGTGGTTCGTTTGGGCCTAGATTTAATTTTATTGATGACAGGATCCCAAGCTGATGGTAGTACCCAACCTTCTTCTCTATTGAAATTAGGGTGTTTTTTAATTTCAATAGCCTCGCGAATCATCCTTGGGAGGAATCGGTGTTCTTTTTCAAGGATCTGTGGTTTGTCAAACCTGATGTAGTGGTTGGGTCTATTCAAAATGTGCTCACAAACTGCAGACTTGTTCAACCTATTGTGTTTGATGTCAGCTATATGTTCTTTCACGCGGGTTTTTATTGCTCTTTTCGTTTGACCTATGTAAGAGAGCCCACATTCACAGTCAAGTTTGTACACTCCTGGACCTTGCAGAGGGATATTACACTTGACAGATGGTAAAAACTGACTAATCTTCTTCAGCGGCTTGTAGAATGTATTAATTGAAGCCTGCTTTAAGATATAGCCAATCTTGTCGGTGACTCCTCTGACGTATGGTAGAACAGCAGGTACTCGCTCCACTGTGGCTGGTTTCACTCGGTCACTGTGACGTAGGCGCGGTGCTCGAAGCTTGTTGTCATGCAGAACTTGCTTGACATGATTTGAAGCTCAGCGGCCAGGTGTTGTTTGTCACAGATCCCTTGTGCTCTCTGAAACAAAGATTTACCCACGGTAGCTAACTGGGATGGATGGCGGTGAGGAATCACCGTTTAGGTATCTTTTGTATGGGTTGCCTTCCTATACACAGTGTGACTTACGGTGTTATTTGGATTGCGGATGACCAAAACATCTAAGAAAGCTAAAGATTGATTATGCTCTAATTCCATAGTGAATTGTATTTTGGAATTTACTGAGTTAAGGTGGTTTAGAAATGCATTAACTTTACTTGTTGGTAAAATGGTGAAGGTGTCATCTACATACCTCTTGTAAAACCTTGGATAAATGGGAGCTGTGCGAAGGGCCTTCTCCTCAAAGTCTTCCATAAATATGTCAGCGACAATGGGAGATACTGGGCAGCCCATTGCTACACCATCTATCTGTATGTAAAATTGTAAGCCAGATCGACTCACCAACTTACAGACTGGCTCAACATCTAGTACGAATTCTCTCACCACTGAGAGGACACACAAGGGCATACACAAAGGATTCTTACCATTTTGTTAGTGAGATAAAACAACTATGTCTTGCTGACAATGAAACAATGGTCAGTTTTGATGTACAGTCTTTATTTACATGCCTACCATTAGAAGACTGCATCTCAATTGTAACAAGAAAGCTAAAAGAGAATAACATGCCGGAAGAGTATGCATTACTACTTAAACATTGCCTAACATCCGGCTACTTGCTTTGGAAGGAGGAATTTTACATACAGATAGATGGTGTAGCAATGGGTGTGCCCAGTATCTCCCATTGTCGCTGACATATTTATGGAAGACTTTGAGGAGAAGGCCCTTCGCACAGCTCCCATTTATCCAAGGTTTTACAAGAGGTATGTAGATGACACCTTCACCATTTTACCAACAAGTAAAGTTAATGCATTTCTAAACCACCTTAACTCAGTAAATTCCAAAATACAATTCACTATGGAATTAGAGCATTAATAAACTCTTTAGCTTTCTTAGATGTTTTGGTCATCCGCAATCCAAATAACACTGTAAGTCACACTGTGTATAGGAAGGCAACCCATACAAATAGATACCTAAACGGTGATTCTCACCACCATCCATCCCAGTTAGCTACCGTGGGTAAATCTTGTTTCAGAGAGCACAAGGGATCTGTGAAAACAACACCTGGCCGCTGAGCTTCAACATGTCAAGGAAGTTCTGGATGACAACAAGCTTCGAGCACCGCGCCTACGTTTCACAGTGACCGAGTGAAACCAGCCACAGTGGAGCGAGTACCTGCTGTTCTACCATACGTCAGAGGAGTCACCGACAAGAGTGGCTATATCTTAAAGCAGGCTTCAATTAATACAGTCTGCAAGCCGGTGAAGAAGATGAGTCAGTTTTGAACCATCTGTCAAGTGTAATATCCCTCTGCAAGATCCAGGAGTGTACAAACTTGACTTGAATGTGGGCTCTCTTACATAGTTGAAACGAAAACAGCAATAAACACCCGCGTGAAAGAACATATATGACATCAAACACAATAGGTTGAACAAGTCTGCAGTTTGTGAGCACATTTTTAATAGACCCAACCACTACATCAGGTTTGACAAACCACAGATCCTTGCAAAAAGAACACCGATTCCTCCCAAGGATATTCGCGAGGCTATTGAAATTAAAAAAACACCCTAATTTCAATAGAGAAGAAGGTGGGTACTACATCAGCTTGGGATCCTGTCATCAATAAAATTAAATCTAGGCCCAAACGAACCACTACTGCAAGACAAGATACAATTAGCTCCCTCTGCATAGATCGGACACAAAATTAATAATTCAAAAAAAAAAAAAAAAAAACTGACGGTAGCCCGGGTTAACTATGACAATCAGACGTCTAACACCTCAGTCTGTCCCGTGACCATGAACGCTGTAAAGGGTTCGAAACGTCGGGAATTAAAATTAAAAATAAACGCGATAAATCCGTAAAATTAGTTTCATTTATAATGTGTAATCGCGTAAATACAAGAAATTATTATAAAGCTTCGGATTTCAATTTCATTAAAATAGATCAAATAGCTTATTTGAACACTGTAAATTGTGTAAAAGAGGTTTTGATAAAAGAGATTTTACAAAAGTTTTGCGTGTAACGAGACATCGAAACAGTACCTATGTCACAAGAATTACCTTGTTATCTTTACAGAGTTTAGTTCAAGACTGTGTGTAAGCTAGTTTCGCGGACCGTAAAAAATGTCAGAAATATTCATTATACAAAACGAACATGAAACTTACCGATGCAGTTTCTCGGTCCACACCCAAAGGGCAAATAAGCGCAAGCGTGTCTACTACTTGCGTTTTCTGCAGAAAATCTTTCGGGATCAAATTTCTCTGGATTGGGGTAGTACTTAGCATCGCGTTGGATGCTCAAGATTGATATTAGTACAATTTGATCTTTCTTCACCGTGACATCAGTTCCTGGTATTTTGTAGTCGGCTTGTGCCCTCCTTTGTAAAGGATCCACTACGGGATACTTGCGTAGAGTCTCGTCTAAAACCTTCTTCATATAATGCATATCGTTGAGAGTTTCATACGTTATTTTACCTTCGTGCTTTTTTAGCACTTCATCGACTTCGGCTACAAGTTTGTTTTGAATTTCCAGGTTTTGCGCCAACTCGTATAACATATGTGTCATCGTACGCGCGCTGGTTTCGTAACCAGCGGCGTAAAATACAAACGCCAGCGCAGCAATAACATCTTCCGTTAGTTCGACCGCTATTTGTTCACTATCATCGTACCTCCTTGTGCTATGTATCTTACCCTGCTGTCTTAGCTCCAGAATCAGATCCATGAAGTCCCTCCTATTAGAGGGTACGCCGTTTCTCTGCGCTATAACAGTCGCAACGACCTGCCTAAAGAACCCACTCAAGTACGTCGGGAATACTTCCATGTTCATCTTCTTCAATACTCCGGGAAACATCATGTCCAGCTCGTCCACGAACGTAGGGGTGGTTATGAGTTTGTCTATTTTCTCCCAGATGTCTATTTTTTCCTTAAACGTGTCAATATCCAAACCGAAAGCGCAGGCCGATATTGCTGCCATGGTATACCTTTGTAACAGTGGGTGCACATCATGCTCCCTTTTCGTCAAACATTGTTCTTTTAGATAGAGGGTAAATTTGTCACCGCATTCGTCTAGTAAGTACATCATGTTCTTCAGTTTACCCGAGGAAAATATCGGAGTGAAACGGTTCCTTAATACACGCCACTTGTCAGTATCAGCGTGGAATATGTTGTTGCTTAAACCTTTATCACCGACAGAGACCCCACGGTCAGAGAAATAGTCGAAGTCTTTGATGAGGACTTGCTTGATCACGTCCAGGTCGCGGAGGAACAGGCACGGAGTGGTCATTCTGAACACACCTACCACTTTCTCGTGGGGAAACTGGTCGTAGATCTCTTTGAATACCACTCCCATGTTCTTTTTCCGTAAAAAGGACTCCAATATATTGCCGAATAGAGGAATTGGTTTAGGCCCGGCGACATTTCTTGTTTTCCAATAACTAAACGTTCTAGTAAAGTAGTAGTAAAGTAAATAGGATAGTGTTAACGTAGCTATCAATGAGTACGCTAATAACATTTCGAGTGAGTACGAGCGAGATCCCAGAGACAATAATAGTTTAAGCGAATTATTTTTTGTTTACTTGATTATATAGTTAGAATTAACTCACTACGCACACATGCGCATTGTGAATAACAGAGGCAGTTGACATAAATTATACTTTTTAGTTACTTTAAAAAAGGGAGGGTTATATAAGATTTCTTTAGGCGCTACATAATCACTTTTGTATTATTTTATTCAATTAATATACTTACGAACGCCGTACATTAATTTCACGATACTGTAACAGCATGAAAGGTTACTCTGGTTATTACAATGTCATCACGATAACTTTGAAAAGGGTATATAAATATACATACTACTACTAATAACATTACCAAGATCAGGGATTGCAAGTTATTTCAGCATTATGATAATTTAATTTTCAACCGACTACAAAAAAGGAGGAAGTACCCAATTCGACTACAATTTTTTATGTTTGTTACCTCGGAACTTTCGACTGAGTAAACCGATTTTAATGATTCTTTTTTTATTTGAAAGCTCGTGCTTTCCATGTGGTCTCATATTAATGTCATTGGCTCTGGATCTAGGGCTCCGGAGATACGCACCTGATTTTCAGGGAACTCCTGAAAATCAATTATAAAATTAATACGGAGCGAGATTATTGAAGTCGGTTATTTTTCGTTATGGTAATTTTTAAAATTTAATTTTATTTATTGACTAAAACAAGTTTTCTGTCACCAACCGAGCAATGTGTTTGTTGCTAGTGATTTAAGTTTAATTTACCTTTAACACTTTTTCCCTTATCTTCCTTAGGCATTGAAATATATTTAGTTTATATATGTTACTAATGAAGGTATTTTATTAGGTTTTTTATAGTGACGTACACAATGCTTCCGCATATAAATACACTTCTGTCTGTGTCTCGCCGTCGCTTCTTTTGTTACATAATTGATAATGTATTGGATAAGTACTTGAGAGCCTTATTTGATTATCGCGAAGTGAAATCATTCAAACTGATTCTGTTCTCCGCCACCTCATTTCAATTGTACCATTTGAAATTTATCGTAGTTTTATATTTGAGATGGCTTTTTTTGTATAATTATTTCATTTATTACCCGGTTAACGCAGAATCGCATCCAGAGGCGGATTATCCTTAAGGCAAATTAGGCATCTGCCTAGGGGCGCGAGGGTACCGAGGGGCGCACGGGCGGAATTGTTAAATAAAGAAAAAATATATAATATAGCATAAAATTAATTGCGCCAGCAATTAAGCCATCTTCTTACAAAATGAAAACTATTATTATTGCTTAGAACCTCAAATTGCTTCAATTTATAACAAAATATAAATTTAACGGAAGGAACTGACTAAAACTTACGCCAACAAACAACAGATAGTACATGATCTCTAATTGAAATTGGAAAGATACGACTACAATGTACGTCGCGTCGACCGCGACTAATGAGTATCGGTTTTTTTTCTTGGCAGGGTTTACTGTTAGGCCTTAGGGGACTAGATCCGCCGGACTTGAGGTGGCCGGGCGCTGGGGGCGCCTAGCCTGAACCTCGGCGTATTATTATTATGGTGACTAAGCTCGAGGACTCCCGAGGGAGCCTCGGCTCGGGCCGTCACGCTATTATTATCATTATCGGTTTGGGAGGCCACCAAGCTGTTAGGGCGCTTTGGTGGACGTTCCATGGAGTGACTAGGCTCACGGACCCCCAAGACCTCGGCTTTTTTTAATGTGAAAAGTTTACAAGCGAGCAGACGGTTCACCTGATGCTAAGTGAATACCGCCGCCCTTGGACATCTGCTACACCCGAGGGTTCCAGACGCGTTGACAACCTTTTGAAAATTGGGCTCCGGTCACCTCACTCGCCAGACGACACGCGAAAGTATTATACTTCCATTTTACGCCCGTCTTCTGTGAGGTCGTGGTACTTACCCGGACGAGCCTGCCCATTCGTGCAACAGCCGAGGCTGCTGCTTGGCCCTACCACCGTAGAAGGCTTGGGCTGTCACTCAATACCCGTTTAGCATTCCGATTCGAGGTGCTTGAGAGGGCCGGACTTTGGCTCGATCGGTAGCTATAGTCTGACTGGGTGTAAGTATCGGACGTTCCTGCTTCTAAAATTGTGACGACAAGGGTGCGGCGCCAGGGTGGGAGCTAAGCGGTCAGGCGCGAAAAAATGGGTGGTGACACGACGCTCAACTTTGTTGTCATTGGTTACGCGCGTTTTTCAGCCCCACTTACATGATGGAAGTTTCTTGCCTGTTTTATACAATTAAATTGAAGCAATAAATGACTTGCAAAATCTAAAAAACACATAACATTCTTGAGTAGTAATTTTAAGGCACTGTATGCAGTAAAAACAGGTTTTTCAAAAGATTTTTTAGCAAAATCAACACATTTTATAGCAGCAAAAAAAATATATGTTAATCTTGATCGTACATTCTAATGGAACATTGTTTCCAAAAGATATTCTCGATATATTTTCTCGATTGAAAAAAATCATGAAACTACCTCTAAAAGAGAAATTCAAATCCAAAAATGAACGTAATACATCAACAAATCTTAATGAAATTAATATCAGTGGTGTAGAATATATTAATAAAAAGCATTGTTGTTTTAATTTGTTGATTGATGTAAGATATTTGTAAATATTAATTTAATTCATTAAAATTAATTCGAACGCGATGGCCAAAACACCGCGCCACCGCGGCGTTGTTTCTACTCTCTTCCAATTCCAAACGTTGAACAGAGAGCGTCCCTAAATTTTTTGTTGTACTTATTGTTGATTTTCTTATTTGGAAATATTTCTTAATTACCATTTAATTTTTGTTGATTTTTAATACGAAATATTATTGTATTTGTTCAAAGTTGAAACAGTTGGAGAACAATCTATCAGTAAATAAACTAACTTTTAGTATTGACATTTTTTAACGTCATCTATTTTTTTATTAAAATATTTAATTTTTCATCCTAAAACGAAAATTTATCTTATCCACGAAAAATAATTATTTTATAATTTTTCCTATTAATTTGCTTATTTCCAAAATTGAGCCATTTTATAAAATAAAAAGAAAATAATTTGTTGAGTAACAAATGAAAAGTGAAAATAATATAAAAAATACAACTCCACTCGATGAGGGTTTGAACTTGAGACTACACCTACAGCAATAGTTTACCGTTGTGTATAACGCTCGGACCAACAGGCTACGCGAGGTCTGTGGAAAGTGACAAAATTTCGATATATCATAGTAATTCTTGAACATTTAAAGGATAAATTAAAATTCCTCATAATTATATAAAAAAAAGTTGTATTCGTAGTTTCTGCAAAAAATGTATGAGCCATTTCCTTAAAATAAAAATATAAACCATGAAAACAAAAAATAATAATTATAATTAAATAATTTGCCTTTATTAATTTATTTGACTTTAAGATGTATTTTAAATCAATTACTTTTCCATTTAATTAAAAAAATAATAATAAACAGGAAGAAGATTTGACTAAAATTGTTGATTGTTTTCTCATACTTTATATTTGTTTGTTTATTATTATTCCTATTATAATATAAAAGTAAAATACAATGAATGAATGAAATGAATGAATGAATGAATGAATGAATGAAATATACTTTATTGTACACAACCAACGGATATTGAAGAATCAACTAAAATAATACAAAACTGTACAATAGGCGGCCTTATCGCTAGGAAGCGATTTCTTCCAGGCAACCTAGTAAAAGGAAATAGTAAAAACAGTAGCATTGGGTAACGGTGTACACTGAATTAATAAGAGAAACTTATAAGTCAAAATATAAATACATATTAATAAATTATACATAAATACACATGCAAACACGATATATAAATATATACGTTATAAATAATGTATAAGTATTTAGATATAAGTTGACAACATCGAGGAATGGAACACAATGATTAAGGAGGCATAAAATGTTTTCTTAAAAGTCGCTTGAAAATAGGTAGGGATTGTGCCCGCCTAATATGTAGTGGGAGAGAGTTCCAGAGCCGAACAGCTTCCACAGAAAAGGATTTGGAGTAGAAAGATGTACTATGGGGAGGAATTCTGAGGATTAAATTGTCATCGGAGCGGAGAGATCGATCTGGGTGAGAATCACAAAGATACTCAAATCGCTTCTTAAGATAAGGAGGGGTGGTTGGATTGAATAGAACAGAGTATAAGAGCGAAAGAAGGTGAGTATTCCTGCGAAGGCGGATTGGAAGCCACTTGAGCTTATTTCGGAATTCAGAAATGTGGTCATATTTACGAAGTCCAAATATGAACCGTATGCAAAGATTTTGGATGCGCTCAAGTTTATTAAGTTGTTCAACGCTTAAGTCTAAGTAACATGTATCGGCATAATCTAGAATTGGTAAGAGGAGAGATTCCGCGAGCGCAATTTTGGTAGGTATAGGTAAGAAGTAACTCAATCTACGAAGAGAATTAACTGCTGCAAACATCCTTCTACTCACTTCACTAACCTGAGGAACCCAAGAGAGAAATTTATCAAACACAACACCTAGATTTTTAACCGTATCGCTATATTGCAATTGGACCCCGTCAAAAACTATACAAGGAAGATTAGCCCAGTCAATACGTGAAACCAATCTTTGGCTGCCTATAATAATAGCTTGTGTTTTAGATGGATTTACCTTCAGTCCATAAGAATTGCTCCATTCTACAATGGTGTTTAGGTCTTTATTAACTGCATCTATTGTCATGGTTAAATCTGGTAATTTGGATTGAGCGTAGACTTGGAGATCATCAGCATACAGATGGTAGAGAGAAGTTAAATGTTGAGTGATTGAACTAATGAAGATTGAGAA